CTTGGCAACAGAGAGAAGTGGCTAGCGCTCTACAACTCACGGGCAATAGAAAGGTGACGCATATTGAGTTAAGCGAAGAGCAAAGCATGTTCGGCCATGACACCTTTTTATTAGACCTGGAACACGTCGGGGGCAACGTCAAGAGCTTTCTTGGCTAGATAGGTGTGGTAGCTCGCTACCAATCTGCCATATTTGACGCAGGCACAAGTCAGGTTCAATAGGGGATCGGCATGCGTAGGCGCAATGGTTGAGTTGGGACCAGGAACGGAAAATGCATCCAGTAGTAAAACAAATATTACAACTGATTCAATCCATATCTAAACAAGCAACAAGATCATGATGCATTGGCTACAATATAGATCAAAATGACAAGTTGCTTATTTTATTAACCAGCCACCACCAATACTTACACTTGCCAATGATTCTAGCCAATTCAAGCTGTGTATTAGGTAAGTCATCCAATAGATGCATGTCTGAAGAAGGCTAGTAGGTACATCCACTGATATGAAGTGTTAGAACCAGTCAGACAGAGAGACAGTCAATGATTTGTGCCAAGCCTCTGAGTGTAAGATTGAATATACAACGTGGGTGAGGTTTCGCGTCACAAAGGCGCCTCTAGGCTACCCTAATCAAGAGACACGTCCTCTCAACGTTTCACATCAAGTTGGTTAGAAACGAGTCAATATCATGCGCAATACTAAGGTTACTATCCAAAAGACATGCTTATTTCAATATTCTTAAGAGCATGTTGTTTTATGTATAAACGAGGTACATACAGCTAGACTAACACCAAAGAGGGAAGGGTCCTGGTACCTCCCCGTTGTTTCTCGATCTCTCATAGGAAGCACTTAACACGAGGAAGCTTACACAAAGAAGGTTACCTCGTGCCTTCACCTGGGATTTAGGTAGTCTCTAGGTAAAAACTGCCTGAGCAACCTAGGTACTGTATGTACAACCCACTCATCCACCTCTGTTTACATCAACCCTTCCTTTTACATACTTGTTTATCTCCATTCAATGCCTAATCTCGCATCTTGAACATACAATTAGGTACCTATCTACTTGTTCAAATCATCATTCTCAAGCATTGAGATACATATTCTACCTACCTCTTCCAACCACCTTCACATTCTACTACGTATTAACCGTACGTGGTCACCTAAATAATATTACACGGTTACCTAAATAAGTAGGCAATCTACTCCACATCTTCACAAAGTTATAATAGTCTCGAGTTATCACCTTCAAGAATACTTACCTAGGTACCCTCTTGCTGAGGCTCCTTTACACTGTATTCCTTACATCACACCTTCACCACAAGACACCTGCTCAAAAGAACCAGTTCCAATTAGTACCTACCCGATGTAACCTCCAGTTCCTTCAACATTCAACTATCTACCTAATAGATACCCTGCAACTTCGTAGAATATCTATTTATACTCCCGTTTCAAGAATGATCCCCTTCTATACTCCCCTGCTTGTCTAATCTTACTACTCTCTTACCCAGGCTTCAAGACCTATGCCCATTTCACTTTGTTTCGTTTCGTTTCATATAAGCAAGCTTTCCAGTCGATAAACTTATAGGTTATCGAAATGGAGACTGTCGAGGTATTCGTCGTTGGGGACTCCAAGCGCGAGAAATTTGATCACATGCGAAGAGAAGGGAGGAACATTGCGTATCTGGGAGTCGTTAGCAAAAGAATGCATCGAATCCCACCCGAGGATACCGAAAGTATGAGGATACGCTTTAAGAAAGCACGTATGCACTTGCAATGGCTGGATACAAGCTTGGATATAACGCCTGAGATTAAGGCCAAGATGAGAATGGAACCTATTATCAAGATGATATTTGACGATCCCGAATATCACTATCCCGACGACATGAAGGTAAAAGCTGAGCTCTTATACACGAAATGGACTACGGAAAATTGGGGCGCCGACGACGTGGTGGAGGATGACATTGCAGTTGGGGACCAGGAACCACCTCCTCCAGCTACAGACGAGACAGACATCACCGTGAGCTCGCTTCCACCTGCCGATCACCCAATTTTTGGCGAGGAAGGCATCATGTACGGTATTATGATCATTCGCAGCTCCAAGGGCAGGAAGACGTATAGACTTAATCCTCGTATCCCACAAAAGCCCGCCAAAGTCTTCGGTCATAACGATATCCCTGTGGGCACTTGGTTCGCCAACCAACTTGTAGCCCTCCATCGCGGTGCCCATGGCTCGCGAATGGGAGGAATCGCTGGCAGTATAGATGCCGGCGCGTATTCAATCGTTGTTTCCGACATATATGAGGACCTTGACGATGATCGAGGCGATACCCTCTTTTACTCCGGCTCCAACAGCCACAATAACACAGATCCAACACAGCCGGCGTCTTCCAGTAACGGAACGAGAGCTCTCAAGTCTTCTCTCAGGACCGGACACGCAGTGCGCGTTCTGCGATCTGGCGGATCATCCGCGTCACACAGAAATCGCTGGCTGCCGGACTGCGGACTGCGGTATGATGGTTTGTATCGAGTTGTCAGAAAGCGCCTGCAGACAAACACCAAAGGTAAGCCGTGTTCTCAGGAAGAACACAGCCCCATGACAGGCTCCCGCTCCTACGGTTTATAATAACTATTCGACATCGCTAATGCATAGATAGGTGGTCTTTATGAGCAATTCGAACTGCGCAGAGAGCCGGGACAACCGTCCCTAGAGAGACTATGCCGTACCTCCCCCACCTCAGAGCAAAGGATGACCTTACAAGCAATACAGCGAGATTAAGGCGAGCATTTACAGCGATCCCTAAAACATATCAGTCACTAGATCGCCAACGTCGCTAGAAAGATGATATGGATGTCCACAGGGGAGGAAATCGTACTGAACTCTGCATTTTACCGTCGTTGCCGATCACCGGAGCTTTTCAACTTTGCCGAGTTCAATGAATCTCTATTCATTACAAAGCCTATCGGAGAGTACAGCCAAGGTATCGAAAAGGGGCACGCGTACGGGAAGATACCCATATAGGCGCTTGTGGGGAATGCGTAATTTTACTCCATCAAGCATTCGCGTTGAGTTCGAAGGCTCAAACCTAGTATATCGAAGTTATCCAGGGAATGGAGGACGGACACTAGTGGTTTAATAATGGCTACGTTAATTATCAATGGGACATTTACAAGCAGGTAGAGAGCTGCTTGTATTCTTACTTGCACGGAAATCTCAGTCACCGACAAACATATCTCGGTTTCGATAATCCACGACTAGCTGTTAGAAACCTAATAAAAGCATGCATTACTGATACCCAGCATCGAGTAAGCGATTGATCGTAAATGGCAACTCAGTATTGTGTTCCTACCTTCACCTTAAATGCTCTCAGTAAGGGGTCGAACCGATTAACAAAGCGACGCATGTCGTCAAGTCTATTAAATCGTCGCCCATCCGTACCTTTAGTCACTCGCAAGGAGTGTATACCAAAATCTCCAATTTACACGAACTATAGCAAAAGCTCGGTATGAAGATCAGCACTTTTATTAGGCTAGGAGAGTACCGTATGAAGTATTTATCATAGATAGGCCTTGCTATTCCGCCCCGAAAAAGATACCCGCGGTATCAATCGCTAACCTGTCAGTACCTATTTCTTTGCCATTCTGTTAGTGTCACCGTGTCTGATACGCAAAAACAGCCCACGTCCTGGGATGAGCGGACGTGTGTTACCTGTACCTACGAGCTGCTGCGCATTTCTACTTACGGCTACGAAAGATGGGCTTCGCTGAGTAGAATGCATAAAGTTCGTTACCACCGTTATAACTTATGGAGGACCGCTCGGGCTCGGGACATACAACCGTGGGTATTGCTCGTGCGTACCTACATGAAATCACGACGATCGTCGGCCCTCTGGCGACGGTGTTTGGTTGGGAGGTAGGTAGCGATACACGAAGGAAGTCAAGTATACTTATATTAGACGATCGATATCCTAGCGAAGTGAACGGAAGACAACATAAAGTTAACTAGAGAACAACTTCATCCAAGTTGAACTTGATGATTGTCAGCCCTACATGCTTACCTTAAGTAACTAACTACTCCGTAGGGAACCGCTCGAGTCACAGCCAAGTCATTATTCTCTGCGTTAGCATAGGTAAGATGTGTATAATATACCTATCCCGAACACGCAACTCTCGCATTGATTGGCCGAGCCAAGCACTGCAAACTCACCGGCAAGCACGTCCTCGTGATCCGCAACAGCAGGGAAGGGGGAACCGGGGGTCATCGGCCCCGCGCGCAACGCTACCCGGGCTGTCAACGCAGTCCCGGCGATCCCGTCCAGGCCGCATGCCCGGACTACCTACACGCAGCTGATAGCGCTGCCGCCGGCGCGTATCAAAAACCGCCCGGCGTCGCGGCTACACCATCACCACCAGCCCCAAGCTAGCCGCTCGTCGCGTTCCTGGCCGCGGGGCCCACGCACACAACCTGCGACGCCGTCAAGTCCGGGTTCGTTGACACGTCGCTGTGGGACGCGACGCTGACGCCTCCGGGGAGGTAAGCAGGGTTGCTGAGGCGTACGTAAACCTACCTCATGAAGGAGTCAGTAGTTTTGATCAACCAGACTCGATATAAGTATTTTACGTATATTCATAATACTATCAGTATGACAGACCGAAATAATATAGAAATAGAGTGAGATGCCAGAGATGCGGGTTGTACAGACATATTGAAAGTTCGATATGAGGACATAAGTAGGGTCAGTGTTAGTTAGACTCAAAGCGCCTGTTTATCAATTATCTTCAGTGATACGAAACCTTAAGACTCTCGAAGACTTCGCAGGTAATCCGGGCTTAAAAAAATGCTCAGGAAATGAAACTAAGTAAATCGAACAGCGAAAAAGAGGAAATACAGAAGATAAAAGAACAACCAGAAAGAGATCAAAAAATGTGTTGCTTTGCACCGAATCATTCAATGATGACTGAGCCGATGCAAAACAACACATCCCACCGGGGGTTACAGTTAAACTCCGATACGGGGAATCGAACCCCGAGCTCTTGGATGAAAACCAAATATGTTAGCCGTTACACTATATCGGATCTAGAATCAATTTGTTCGCGGATCACAGGGTGCTATATTGGGATGCATATATGTGTTTATATAGTAGTTACAACAGCAATAGACCAGCATCATGAAATACATGTACGCCCTTAGAAGTAGATGATGACAAGGAGTGTAATCTGCGATAAACGATAAGACTGGGAGAAGAAGAGATATTTATTTATCATCATTAGTTCTTAGTAAAAATCTATTCAAAAGCTGTGGTGTTCATATGAAGGTCCTATGGGTAGCTCAGCTATAGGGTAGGTATTTTCGGCCAAGTGCATCCGTCTCTTTCTGCAAGTGACGAACTGTGTATAAGACAGACGTCATTGAAGCACCTTCAAATGAGACCCGACTACATGTAGGATTAAACAAACACCACAAGCAGTTTCCCGTCTTAGGTAGAAATGCATAGCATTTCATATCATACCCTTGCAGCTCGCGGCCTACCTAGATTTTATAAATCTTTTCGGCCAAGTAATTCTCGCACCGGGTTGAATCATTATCGCAGCATCGTACACCACCACAACGTAACAGCAGCTATTCACATCCGCAAACGCACGATGGCAACGTTTACGCTCAAGCCCTCAGGCATCCCAGTCAGGCTACCCAACGGCCTCTCAGAACACATGCTCCTATCATTCGAGCCCTTCAACGTAAGTCTCACCTATGCTCATGATCACAAGTACATAGAAAACTAACCAACTCACTTCACCCCCCAGAACTGGCTCAAGACCCTGACAGCCTCGCTCGCCCTACAACACACCAACAGCGCGCACCCCTTCCACTCGGACCCCTATACGCTGTGCTCCATCACGGTCCAGAGCTACGACCTATTCTGGGGCGGGCGCCTAGGCTTCCTGAAGCTCCTCGCGGACGTGGCGAACGCGGCGGGCGAGTGCCTGAACGGCAGCGTCTTCCTCCGCGGGCCCAGCGTCGCCAGTACGTAACCTAACCTATCCCAGAATGTCCTCCCCAGCTATGTATTCCCTACCTACCTACCTACCTTAGTCCGCCCGTCATACGGGTTCGCACCCGCTATCCATCCCATCACAGAAATCCTACCCAAGCTCCATGACTTAAAAACTAACACCCGATTCCCCGAACCATCTAAACAAACAAACAAAAAAGAAAAGGGGGCGCAGTTCACTAACTCCCCATTAGTGCTCATCATGTTAATCCCGGACGATGACGCGCCTGCCGGCGCCGGCGCCGGCGCCAGCACCAGCAACGAAAACGACGAGCGCTACGCAATCCTGACGGTACAGCCGCGGATCCCGGCCGGCAGCCTCGCCTTCGCGGAGCTGCCCGCCGGCATGGTGGACGACGACGCGGGCGGCACGTTCGCAGGCACGGCGGCGCGCGAGATCTGGGAGGAGCTGGGCCTGGTGATCCCGGCCGCGGAGCTGCGGAACCTGAGCGAGATGGCGGCGGCGGCGAACAAGGACGAGGGCCGGGGAGGGGGCGAGAAAGGGGAAGAGGGCAGGGGGATAGGACGGGGATGGGAGGCGGAAGAAGAAGGACTGCTGCCGCCGGCCGTGTACCCGTCGCCCGGCGGCTGCGACGAGCATATCCCCATCTTCATTCACGAGCGTCGCGTCCCCCGCGCGCAGCTGCGCGAGTGGACGGGCCGCCTCACGGGCCTCAGGGACCACGGCGAGAAGATCACGCTGAAGCTGGTCGCCATGAGGGATCTGTGGCGGGAGGGGGCCCGCGACGCCAAGTGTCTTGCTGCGCTGGCGCTGTGGGAGGGGTTACGGCGGGAGGGCAAGCTGTGAGAGGATGCACTGAAGCAGTGGTAGCTGGAGGTATTGATTTCGAGGCACCAACGGAGAGACATGGTGCGTTACTTCGTGCTTAAGTAGGTAATAGATACGTCTACTTCTTAATAAAGTGATCGGGGGATTATGATGAATAAGATAGATAATGCTGCTAAGCAGCGGGCAGGGCACAAAATATATCATCTATATTTCTCGTACTTGGCCGCGACCTGAAGCAGCACCTCGACCTTCTCTACGGTTGCCGAATCGTACACTTCTTCCGGTCTCTTGTCCCCCCGCAGCACCTCCTTATCGTGCCGCGTCGCTTCCTCCTTGGTCATACAGACCAAGTCCCGGAGCTTCACGTTCGACGACTTCTGCTCGTCGGGTCCCTCCCCGATGCGGACCAGCGTGCTATTCGTCGGTTTCCTCCACCTCGCCAGGGTCAGTCGGGTCGTGAGTCCGGTGATGGCGCTTCGGCCTTTGAAGACTTCCTCGACGAGGAAGGCCGTGTCTCCCAGAGTGATAGGCACCCTCAAGCCCACCGATATGCTGGGATCGCCGCCGGTCAGGTGTCGGAGGATCTTCTCCTCGCCTCCCTGGACCGCGGCAAGCAGACCTTCGTACATCTTCTCGCGACCCTTAGCCGGCACATAGTCGTGAGGATATCCTGAAGATCGATTAGACCGCGGGCAGCGACAGTAGCTCGGGGCTAAAACTTACCTGTGACGGATAGTATAATGTGGTTTGCTACCGTGTAGCCGAAAACCGCCGGCATGGTACCCAAAACCGGCAGTATCCGTACCCGGAAGTCCGGCATGACGCCCAGGTCACCAACTTGGCCCTTCTGGAACTCCTCCTCGGGAAGCGGAAGCAGCTCAGCCTTGCCCTCGCCCGTCTTCTCCGTCGAGTACACCGTCGGGATGCCCTTGGTAACACCCAATAGCTTTAACCGGCGGCGGGTGGCCCTCGACAAACCGTCATCGGTGCTCGTTCCAATGTCGCCCACAATGATCCGCGTCGGATCGCTCTTGCACCCCGCACCCATCGACGATATGACAGGCAGTTGGTGGTCGTAGCAATATTTCAGCAACGACACCTTAGTATCGATATTGTCGATCGCGTCGACGATGAAATCCGGCCTCCGCCCCGACTCTTGCCACGGCGCCAACAGCCTATCCGCCGCCTCATCCCAGTACTTCTCCTGGCGCAGATCGAAGTGCACCCAGGGCGTTATGGCCAGCAGGCGCCGGCGCAGACAGTGCACCTTGGGGATGCCGACGTCGGCCAGGGTAGCGACGGCGTGTCGGTTCAGCGAGCTCAGCGTGACCTGGTCGAAGTCGACGAGGCGGATCTTCGAGATGCCCGACCGGGCCAGGGCGGCGGTGCAGTGCGAGCCCACGCCGCCGCAGCCCACGACGACGACGAACGCGTTCCGCAGCTTATCGAGGCCCGCGGGGCCCAGGAAGACGCGGTTGCGCGCGAGCTGCTCGAGGATCAGGTCGTCGTCGTAGTCGCCGGCCTGCGCCCGCCGCGCGAGGACCTCGTTGCAGATGTCTTCCTTGTCGGCTTTCGAGGCGCCGCCATAACTATTGAGCTACCTTGCGCTGGTCAGTGAGGTCGCGGAAGGGCGCCGGCTGGGATGGACGAGGTGATGGAGAGGGAAGGATGCTCACCCTTCGCAAGGCGTCGCCGTCCTCGCCCTGAGACGGTATCGAGCCCTTGAATTCGTGGATGCGCTCGTCCCGCTGCAGACGCTGGTAGCCCAAGATGGTCCCTGCGACGACGACGCCAGACGCAATGGCTGTGGCAGCGAGTTGCACCCGAGAGCTTGAGGTGGCTTGCTCGAGAAACGACATGTTCGATGGAAGGACGGCTACATGTATACACTACGGTTCCAACGCCCTCTCGTAGTCCTTCAGAATGTTTCGAGTTCAATATCTCTACCGAAGCATTGTTAAAACGTGAGACAAGAAAAGTACTATGAAATCACAGGTCCGGCAATGCTTGCAGTTTTGGTGTCCAGGTTAGGTACTCTGGCTGTCTGGTCGCTCAAAAGTCGAAAAAGAAAATATTTTGCAGGGTGGAAGGGATGACGAAATCTCGGGGCGATCTTAGATAGCGCTTAATCTTCATGTTGTCTACAGAGGCCTAGCCCCTCGGCAAGGATCCCGCCTGTCACTACAGAACTAAGTAGCGGCACGGTATGTGACACTGTAATAGCTAAGCAATGTATAACCCATATATGGGCACTCATCCCACTATATCCTGACAAGCAACCACTATAATTAAGAGCCCAACCCACTGTGATCTTAAGTCGTAAACCGTGCGGCGCAATATTTATACACTGAAGGATGTTCGTTCATGGACGAGATCCGAAACAAGCTCGGCCAGCCACATGTCTTAGTCGAGCTTAATTAATGAACATAACCACAAATTTGACTGCATTTCTCTAACACTTATTCTGCTGCCGTCTCTCCTCCGGCCGATGCCGTTGCCAGCAGATTCTGGTCACCCAGGTTGCCTTGAGGGTAGCGGGAGTTGAACCCAACGACATCCCGAGCCGCCTGGAAGGTTGCCCTTGAGAGCAACAGCTTTTCTGTCGCAACCGACCACTTAACGCCCTCGGAACATGGCGGCGTTGTGAGAGAGCCCGCGTATCTCTGGAAGCTTCCCGCGTTTAACAAGTTGACCAACTCGGACATGACCAAGGGCGGCGTTTTCGTGCTGCTTCCGGGTGATGAGATGTTTCCAACCGAAGAGAAGACGGTCTCAAGCAGAGTGGATGGAGCTCTTCGAGGCAGGATATGCAGTGAGACCACCGTCGGCGACTCTATGATATCAATGTACACCCCAATCACTGCGACTTCTTCGGCTGCCGAGCTGAACACCATGTGCATTTCCACTGTCTTATTGTTAGCCGGAAGACGCGTGCAGTGAGGCCCGGAGGGCTGGCTACTCACTCGGCAAACTGACGCCATTATCCAAGTGCTCGCTAGGATGGTGGAAATGGAACTGTTCGAGGGTGAAGGTGGTGTTATCCAGGACGAATTGCCCCCCTACTTCTTCCATCACTACCTCCACCGTCGACCCGAGATTCTCAAATGTTGCACCTTCGGGGACATCGGGAATTGTCAACTGCGTATCGGACGCCGGGACCAGCGTGAAAGCCTCGGGGACCATGTTTATCGGCGACTGGTTAATGCCAGTCGAGCACAATGAATTGGCTGTTTCCA